GTGACCGTCGCCGTTGTGGTGCCGATACATCCGGTGGCGCTGGTACCCGTCACCGTATAGGTAGTAGTCGTTGTTGGTGTTGCCGTTGGGTTTGCGATATTGGCATTGCTCAGGCTCGTTGCCGGCGACCAGCTATAAGTAGCCGCGCCCGACGCGGTTAACGTAGTTCCTGATCCCTGGCAGATACTTCTGTTACCAGTTACGGCGATCACGGGTAATGGATTAACGGTTACCACGGCGGTGGCCCTGTTGATACATCCGTTTGCACCGGTGCCGGTAACAGTATACGTAGTTGTTGCAGCAGGTGTTGCTACCGGGTTGGCACAAGCCGTACAGCTCAGGCCGGTGGCCGGGCTCCATACATAACTCACTCCACCGGCAGCCGATAAGGTATCGGCACCACCAATGCAATGTGCTTTATTCACAGCGGTGATCACCGGCAATGGTAGTACCGTAACCGTGACACAGGCCGTGCTGGTACAACCGGCTGTTGATGTGCCGGTAACGCAGTAAGTGGTCGTTGCGGTAGGCGATGCTACCGGGCTCGCACAATTGGTACAGCTTAATGTCGGGGATGCATTCCAGGTATAGGTACTTGCACCCGTTGCCGTTAAGGTGGCAGTATTGCCGGTACAAACAGACTGGGCCGGACCTGCACTTAAAGTAGATGGCAATGGATTGACCACAACAGTGATCGCAGCGGTAGCCGTACAACCAAATGTATTGGTACCCGTAACGGTGTACGTTGTATTGGCCGTTGGGGTAGCAATAGGGTTCGCACAGTTTCCGCAGGAAAGCGTAGCGGCGGGCGACCAGGTATAACTGGTGGCCCCGCTTGCGGTTAGTGAGGCAGATCCGCCGATACAGATATTTGTGTTTCCGGTTGCATTAACGATGGGTACCGGGTTAACGGTCACTACAGCGGTTGCGGTATTGGTACATCCGTTGGCATCCGTGCCGGTAACGGTATAGGTGGTGGTGCTGGCCGGGGTAGCAATAGGATTAGCAATATTAGGATTGCTCAGCCCGGTTGCCGGACTCCATACATAACTGATACCGCCTGTTGCCAGCAAGGTATCGGCACTACCGGCACAATGTGCTTTATTGGTTGTTGTAATGTTTGGTCTCGGGTTCACGATCACCGTTACGCTGGCACCGCTGGAGCAGCCGGCAGTACTGTTACCGGTTACAAAATAAGTAGTGGTCACCGTTGGCGTGGCTGTAGGGCTGGCACAGTTCACGCAGCTTAGTGTCGGGTCGGCTGTCCAGGTATAGGTGCTCGCCCCGGTAGCCGTCAATGACGCGCTGCGTCCCACGCAAATCGTCTGGTTGGCACCTGCACTCAGGGTAGATGGCAATGGATTCACGGTTACCGTAACGGTTCCTGTACTGGAGCATCCGGCAGCATTGGTACCGGTAATGGTATAGGTCGTTGTTGTTGTCGGCGTTGCAATGGGGCTCACACAATTATTACAGGAAAGCGTAGCAGCCGGAGACCAGCTATAAGTGGTGGCACCATTGGCCTGTAAGGCTACGGAACTGCCAATGCATATATTTTTATCCACCGCAGTAACAACCGGGATCGGGCTAACGACCACTGTTCTGAACGTGGTGTCTCTGCAACCGCTGGCGGTACCGGCAATCAGGCGTACGTTATAAGTGCCTGCTGCGGCATAGGTATGCGCAGGGGTGGTGCCGGTGCCGATGTTACCATCTCCAAAATCCCAGCTGCGGGTGGTTATTACGCCACCAACTACGGAAGAGGTATCTCTGAAATTTACCACACCGCCGAGACATAAGGCGTTGGGGGTAGCCGAGAAACCGGCAAAGACCCGGTTAATCCGAATGGTATCCGATCCGATAATAGAGGTATTACAACCCGGACCACTGCTGAGCACCATTACCGGCACATATATACCCGGTGACGTATAGGTATATGTGGCCGTTCCGTTAGGGGTGGTCGTTCGAGTATTACCATTATTAAAGTCAAAGGTGACCGATGTTGCATTTAAGGTGCTGGCCGTAAAGGTGACCGTTAAAGGATAACAACCGGCAGTAGGACCATAGGTAAAGGTACCCGTAGCCCCGCTATTGACACGTACCGTTTTAAGGATCGTATCCCGGCAACCGGTGGCATTGGTAACAATGAGCCGTACGGTATATACACCTGGCACAGAATAAACATTAGACGGACTGACAGAAGTGGAAGTACCTCCGTTGCCAAAGTCCCAAAAGTAGGAAGAGCCGCCGGTGGATGTATTGGTAAAGATTACGTTCAATGGCGGGCAATTGCCTACGGAGTCGCTCATATTGAACCCGGCCCGCACACCACTTACATTGATCACTCTTATTAAGGTGTCTTTACAGCCGGTGGCGTCTGTAACCACAAGCCGGGCATTGTACACACCCAGGGCGGTATACGTATGGGTGGGGTTCAATAAGGCAGATGTATTCCCATCACCAAAGGCCCAGGCATAACTAAGCGGCGCAACGCCGGTAGACGTATTTGTAAAGGACACGCTATTGCCCAGGCAGAAGTTGGTGGAACTGGCGGTATAAGCCGCTACGGGGCGGTTCAGAATAATGTATCCCGGTTTCACGAGCTCGGCGTTACAACCGGCTATATCCGTCAGGTTCAGGGTAACCGTATAGGTACCAGGTGTCAGGTAGGTATGCGTAACGGTGGTGCCCGGTGCCGTCATACTCGTACCATCCCCAAAGTTCCAGGTTCTTACAGAGATTGCAGAAGTAGTAGTAGAGTTGTCATTAAACGTAACGGTGATCGGGCTGCATCCCTGGACGGTGCTCGCCGTAAAGGATGGGTTAATACCATTCACACTGATATTGGTGCGAACCAGGGAATCTTTACAGCCATACCGGTCTGTTATAACCAGCTTAGGGCTGTAAATCCCCGTTACCGGGTATAAATACGTGACGGTATTCGTGGTAGTTGTCTGGCTGACGCTATTACCAAAATGCCAGGTGTAGCTGGTATAATGCGGATTGCTGACGCCGGTAAATGTAATCGGCGTACCGGCACAGACAGCAGGTGGCGTTGCTGAAAAGTTAGCATCCAGGTCAAAAATATAAACCGGTACCACCTTAGTATGCGTGCAAACACCGCCATTCGTAACGGTCAGCGATATATTATAGGTCCCGTTAGCGGCGTAAATATGAGGGGGCGGATTGGCGCCTGTGAATGTCGGAGAGCCATCCCCAAAATCCCAGAGGTACGTTGTTGCCCCTGTTGACCGGTCCATGAATGTCACCTGGTGGCGGTTACTGCAAGGAATTATCACCTCAAAATCAGCATGCGGCGGATTTACGGTGATCAGATTAGTTATTTTAAAACTGTCAATGCAACCATTATTATTGCTGTATAAAACGGGAGAAAATAAACCAACATTTCCGTAAAGGTAGGTCGGGTTTGTAACCGTTGAAGTACCGCCATCGCCAAACGCCCAACTGAACGTGGTATTAGCCGGAGCAGTGGTTGTATTGGTAAATG